GAACTACAGAGCAAGCAACTTCCAAAACTATAGAAATGACAAAGAAATCTAACTGCCTGGACAGTCACTCAAGTTTCCTCTGCAACATTAGGGCATCCATCTTCAGCCTACATGCTTAGTGTATCTGGAAGACTTTTCTGTGAAGCAGAAATTTTGAAGGCCTATCCCACCTTGTCTTGGCAAAGTTCAGTAGGCTTTTTCCTTTGTTTCTTGCTTATATAGTAAACTGTCAGCAGTCGAGGCAAGGAAGTTTCTTGCCCAAATAGCAAGCTTTGCCACAATGAAAGTGAACTCCTTATGGAAGTTCGTCAGTGTCCATCATCCTCTTATGAAGTAGATTGGTGATTGCTGTGGAATAATCTTTCTGTACACTGTAAATATGCATTACTTCATTGGTTAATAAAGAACTGACTGGCCAATAGCTAGGCAGGATTTTAGGGGCAGAGAGAATGCTGGGAAGAAGGATGGAGTCTGAGGAGTCACAAGACAGACATGAAAGAAGCAGCATGGAAAGTCCATAGATGAGGTAAATGAGCCTTGGGGCAGCACATAGATTAATAGAAATGGGTTGATTTAAGTTTTAAAAACTAGCTAGAAACAAGCCTAAGCTATCAGCTGAGCATTTATAATTAATATTAAGTCTCTTGTGGTTATTTGGGAGTGACTGTCGGGACACAGAAAAACTTCACCTACAGATGTTTCCAGGAGTAGACATGTTTCACTGTCATGAAAAACCTTAGGTTATTAAATATCTTAAATTCCATATTCTGTAGGTCTCTGAAGCATTTGAAGATCACCTATCTATCTAAAATATATCTGTTTAACCTTGAAAAAAATACCTAACGTGACTATACATTTGATTGTTATAGATGACTAGCTACTAACTTGGATTTCTTAAATTATCCTAACTATGTTGGAATAATAGTTTCAAGGGCTAGAACTTTATATTACATTTTAAAATAAGCTGCATAGGTACAATACCTTAAACAAGAGTATAAACATATATGTGGTATAACAAAAATAACCTTAAATTTGTGTCACTATAGAAAACTTCAGACCAATATAAAATATTTGAGATGAATGGTTGTCCTTTTATCCTATATTCCTATATACCCACTAAATGATGACAAACATCCATAATCCATCAAATGACCAAAACCACCCAACCACCTGTTGGGAATATGGGCATTGTGTTTTCTAGACTGATTTCTATTTGGGGCCACTGACATCTTTTAGGGGACCCTGAGAAAATTGGGATAATGGTCAAGTCCCGGGAGAGCTAGCTGTATCGTTTACTATCTAATCTCTGTGTAATGGGAAAGTGAAAGGCTTATCTGAAGTCCTGACTGGAATAGTCCGTGAGGCTGAACCATCTCAGCCAGCAGCCTTGAAGCTGTTCTGAATGCAGAACTCTGAGGAAACTGCAACAGAGGCACTCTGAAAAGCTGGATCACCTTGGCCACTCATTTTCATTGTTGTCTGGTCCCTTCGCTCTGAAAAGACATAAACTTTCAAAGATAACATACATATCTGCAGTAACACAAGTATGGACTGTGCATTGTACACAAGCCAGTCAAAGATGATTTTTTTTGTTTTATGTTTAAGCAGGTAAAAGACATCTTTCAACTTTATAAGTTTGTTTTGGACTGTATAACTAAACCTCTATCCATGCTGTATAAAAGGATGGCATGTAACAATAAACCACGAGTAACCAACAAGATTTTTCATGTCTCATCCAGCCTCAGAGCTGTTCCCATGTCAAGAAACCAGCATATATGTCACCTGTCTTGTAGTTTTTCTAGGTTTATTTCTTTACATCTGTAGCCAAGATTTTCAGGGGTCTCCCCCAATCAAATCTGGTCTCTATTAATTTTGAAGGAATCCACGGCCTTTCATTTCCTGTGGGGGAAAAAAGGGATACCCTCTCTAATGCAATACACTTCCTGAATTCCATTTTAAAGTTAAGACATCCCTAAAGTATCTAGGCTGGTTTTAATTCAGCAATTCCTTTTAAAATCCAGTGTGACTCAACAGCTGTTGCTCGCTCATCAGCATTCAAAAAATTCAAAGTCAACAAAGCACTATACAGGATTCAGGCTCCCTGTGTATTTCCCAACTTTACATGGCTCATTCTTTTTATATTACTTTATTCTTTCTTTAAAGACTTTACTTAATTATTTTTAGAATATTTATTTCTTCCTATGACTGTCTATACCCATTTTCTTTTCTTTCTTAAGCACCTGCACATGTTGTAACCTGTTTACAGTTTTTTTTTTCCCAAGCTGGACCTCTTTTACTGTGTACCTGCATCATTCTCTGACCACATGAGCCAAACCTGAAACTGTTAGGCGGCAGCTAGGCCCTCCACGGGTTGGCTCTGGAAGTTGACTCCACTTCCTCCTCAGGTCCATGAGAGTTGAGCCTTAAGCCGGAGGGCCTGGCTGAGAGCTGCATTTAACTGGGAGCTGCATTTAATGCTCCAGCTCTAGGAAGTTGGTGCCCGCACTGGGGCAAGCTTTTTTCTTAGCTTAATGTTTCTACTTAGCCTGCCGGCTGCTCGGGTGCTGTGCTGCACAGCAGCGCCTCTGAATGGAGCAGTATCCATTTGTTTGTTTGTTTGTTTTGTTTTTCGAGACAGGGTCTCTCTGTGTAGCTTTGCGCCTTTCCTGGAACTCACTTGGTAGCCCAAACTGGCCTTGAACTCACAGAGATCCGCCTGGCTCTGCCTCCCAAGTGCTGGGATTAAAGGCGTGCACCACCACCGCCCGGCCACAGCAGCGCCTCTTAATGGAGCAGTATCCATTTGTTTGTTTGTTTGTTTTGTTTTTCCTTTTTTTCTTTTTTCAGCTTTCTCAGGCCCAATGTGGAAATTCAGGCCTCCCATTGGACACCAAATGTAGCCAAGCTCTTTCTCTGTTCTGCCAGCCAGCTCCCAAATAATGACACAGAGACTTCTTATTAATTATGAAAGCTCGGCCTTTGGCTTATGCTTGTCTCACTAGTTCTTTTTTTTTCAAGACAGGGTTTCTCTGTGTAGCTTTGCGCCTTTCCTGGAGCTTGCTTTGTAGACCAGGCTGGCCTTGAACTCACAGAGATCCACCTGCCTCTGCCTCCCGAGTGCTGGGATTAAAGGCATGCACCACCACTGCCTGGCTCCCCGCTAGCTCTTATAACTTAATTTAACCTGTTTCTATTCATCTATGTTTTGCCTCAGGGCTTTTTACCTTTCATTCTGTATGTCCTGCTTTTCTGCTTCTTCCATGTCTATCTGGCTGGTTGGCCCCTGGCATCTATCTCCCTGGCACCTCCCTGGAGTCTCCCTGGTGTCTCTCTCTCCCCCTCTGTCTCCCTCTCTTTTTTCTTTGAAGCCTAAATTCCTCCTCCTACTTATTGTCCCTGTCCAGAAGTCATGCCTATACCTCCTCCCTCACTATTGGCTGTTCAGCTTTGTATTAGACCAATCATGTGCCTTAGACAGGCAAGGTAAAACAGCAACATATCTTTACATAATTAAATAAATGCAACAAATCTTTACATAAGTAAACAAATGCAACACATCTTTGCATAGTTAAACAAATATTCCACAACAATATTTCAAAAAGAAACTAAAAAAAATAAAGAATGAAATATGATTTGCTAAGTCTGAGTGCTATGGATTTTTTTTAAATGTTGGGTGACATTTGAAATGAGAATTGATTGTAACTGTTGTGCAAAGATACAGGGAAATTATATTCTACTTGAAAGCCCTAGCACAGAAAACACCTTGACATTAAAATGAGTCCGCTGGGTTAAGCATGTGACTACATTGGTGGAGTGTTTGTCTATCAAGCAGGAAGCCCCCACTTTAATCCCCCGTGTTATATAAAACCAGGCATCATGGTGCACACCTCTAATCCCATCACTGGGAAGGTAGAGGCAGGAGGATCGTAAGTTCAAGGTCATGTCTACAAATGGGTTCCAGGCCAGCCTGAGACACAAGAGACCATGTTTCAAATGAAACAAAACAACATAAAAATGGTCCTTTAATCTCAGCATGCTGGAGGCAGAGGCAGGTGGATCTGTGAATTCTAGGCCAGCCAAGGCATCTTGTTTGGTTGGGTCCCGTCTACCTCGATGCCAACCCAACTCTAGAGAGAGCCACATTTGCCCGGCTGGCCCCTGTTACCAGACTGCCACCCACTTTCCCTGTCCACACACGTGAAAAAGCCTCATATAAACAGATGGCCTCTTCTGTTTTTAACAAACTCTTTAATAACTTTTTTCTTAGCATTTGAGCGAGGGGGGCTGAGGCAAAAGAACCATCAGCAAATCAAGGCTAGCTCTGCTTTTCTTTCCTTTGCTCCAGTGACAGCATGCTCTAGACACTTCTCTGCCCTTGACGCTTGTCACTTATGTGTTGGAGAATTTCCAGTGTTGGTCCCCTGAGCTCTCCATATCCTTTTCATGTTTGCCACTATATGGTTGCTCCTTTGCTCCATGAAGGACTGATGGAATTGTAGGCATCTGGTTCAGAATTGGTGCGCTAGTAACGGTTCGTCATTCTTTTTGCACAGAAGCCGACTGGCATTTCAGAAAGGACAACTTGCTATGTAAAAGGTCAGCTGAAGCTGATGAGGACCTGTCCAATTTACTAGAAGCACTTCTCATTTTGTTGCTTTTATTCTAATTGTTTTTAAGGTTGCTCTGTTTTGCAGAGCAGCAGCTGTCTCAGGCCAAACGCAGCACTGTTCCACGTGGATTCAATCGCAGCCACGGCCAGAGACATTAACTATTCCAGGTGAACTTGGAGTAAAAGAGAGAGCGGGCGGCTGGCAGGTGGGCTGCAAGCTCCCTGCTCCTTGTTACCCTCCCTGCTGGCCTGAGAGAGCCTTCTGGAAAGCCGCCACCTGGCCCGGGTCAGATTGCTTACACACCGCTGCCTCACAAGCCAGTGTTCCCAACCTTAAGCCAGTGCACATTTATAGAACAATTCCATGTGATCCTGAGGCAGGCAGACCACAGCCAGAGGACAGTGCTTAGATGTGACCTCGGAGAGAGGCCTCCTACCTCCTTGCTGCTCTCCACACTGAGAGGACACTGGGTAAGTGAGTCTCCGAAGGACGACTTCATTCCTTTGATGCATGCCTTTAACCGGGTTTGGTTGCGAAGGTTAGAAGCTTTCACAATTTTCTCCTCATAAAGTGAAATCAAAGGAGATCTGTACTTCTTCCCCTCCTCCTCCTTCTTCCCCTCCTCTCCCCATTGCCTCCTAAACTAAACGAGCTGTCTGATTTCTTACTAAAGTAACTGGTTGCTTTGGGTAGGATACAACCCCATTAAACTGGACCTTGGTTATAAAATGAGCGATTGGAGCAATAGATAGCTACAGTAATTTTTCCTGGCCTCTGTGGCTCTGTGCTTTGCATGTTGTATTCCCAAGTGTTGGTGGTTGTTTAGAGTACTCATTTGAGAGCCCCTAAGGCTCTGGCCCCTAAGGCTCTTAGTGGGTGAATTATTTTAGAACTCATGTTGCTGTCGGCCTTGGGGTATCTGAGAATATATTTCTATCAACACTCATGGGTTGCTTCTCAGACCTTTTGTTGATGTTGTGGCTGCCAACTCCATCAGCTGCCGTCTGATCTTGACAAGGGTGCATTTCTGAGTTTCACTTGATATCAGTTATAATTGACTCATCAGGAGTTAAGCAAAATCCTGTTCAGTTGCTCAAACAGGTGTGTGTGTGTGTGTGTGTGTGTGTGTGTGTGTGTGTGTGTGTGTGTGTGTGTGTGTGTGTACACCATGTCCCCCGAACTGACAGGGCAACAAGACTGAAATTCCTTTTCCAGATTATATCACCATGTAATATCTATCATGTAATATCAGTGTCTGCATCTGCTCAGAGGGCAGGGTGGCGCTCAGCTGGAAGAGTGTTTCCCAGCACCCACAGAGCCCTTGCTTCAATCCCCAGCACCTCCCCGACACTGCATAACCCTGGAGTGGGTGGTTCACACGAAATCCTAGCGCTGGAGACAGGAGGATCAGAAGGTCAAGGTCATCCTTCTTTCCATATACACAGAGTTCAAGGCCAGCCTAGGCTACCTAAGACCCGGTCACAAAAAACAAAAAACAAAAAACAAACAAACAAAAAAAAAAAAACTAGCAGTCCAAGTTTTAGCGGCTGCTTTCCATCAGCCCCCTGTCCTTGGTATTTGGGGCTCTGTTCTCAGGTGTGGCAGGAGTCCTGTTGGCTCCCCTCACCCTCTTCATGTATGGCTCTGTGTGGAGGAAAACTTCTTAGCTAGTTTTGCTGTAAATATGGCCCTGGGTTTCCCATTTCGCATCTCGTCGCTCAGCAGCTGTATGAAAAAGGACTTGGGTAGTTCAAAAACATCCCTGCGGCCTTTGCCTCCTGAGAACGCTACTTTGGGACAGGAGGAGTTTGCTTCTGTGGTGGCTCTGAAAGGGATCAGGCCCAAGTGAAGGAGAGAAAAAAAAAGAGGAGTCAAAGGAAGGAATTTGAGGAGGCAAGAGTCTGGCTGTAGGTGAAGAAGCAGATGGAATGAAAGGCGTTAAAGGGGATAGGTGTGTGTGAAACCAGATGGGTCATTTATAAGTAGAACCAAGGTTTTCATTTTGAGGGGACATAATTTTACAAAGGAATCTGTGAACTTAAAAAAAAAAAGTGCTCTAGCTGAGCATGGTGGCACATGCAGTTAGTGCCAGCACTCTGGAGGCGGAGACAGGAGAATTGTTAGTTGGAGGCCAGATGCGCTCCATAAGACCCCCGTTTCAAAAACAAAACAAACAAAACTGGGAAAACAAAAAACCATGGTTCTATATGGCTCTGTTCTCAGGTGTGGCAGGAGTCCTGTTGGCTCCCCTCACCCTCTTCATGTATGGCTCTGTGTGGAGGAAAACTTCTTAGCTAGTTTTGCTGTAAATATGGCCCTGGGTTTCCCATTTTGCATCTTGTCGCTCAGCAACTGCATGAAAAAGGACTTGAGTAGTTCAAAAAGATCCCTGCTGCCTTTGCCTCCTGAGAACGCTACTTTGGGACAGGAGGAGTTTGCTTCTGTGGTGGCTCTGAAAGGGATCAGGCCCAAGTGAAGGAGAGAAAAAAAAAGAGGAGTCAAAGGAAGGAATTTGAGGAGGCAAGAGTCTGGCTGTAGGTGAAGAAGCAGATGGAATGAAAGGCGTTAAAGGGGATAGGTGTGTGTGAAACCAGATGGGTCATTTATAAGTAGAACCAAGGTTTTCATTTTGAGGGGACATAATTTTACAAAGGAATCTGTGAACTTAAAAAAAAAAAGTGCTCTAGCTGAGCATGGTGGCACATGCAGTTAGTGCCAGCACTCTGGAGGCGGAGACAGGAGAATTGTTAGTTGGAGGCCAGATGCGCTCCATAAGACCCCCGTTTCAAAAACAAAACAAACAAAACTGGGAAAACAAAAAACCATGGTTCTATATTAGCTTTTGGTCATTTGGAAAACGATTCCCTGGGATATGCTTCTGCTGAGGTGGATAATGAGGTGTGAGGCAGGATTGACAGTGATTTCGTGTGTCATATTTCATAGCAAACAGGAGAAACCACCGCGCCTTGAATTTTGACCTGTCATAAGATCCCAATCCCTGTCATGTGTCCCAATCCTCTGAAGAGTGCCTGGTGGCGACGTGTTTGCATTGCTATTGGAACATTCGTAATGACCCTGTCAGGAGCACCTCTGCTTTCCCAGCTCCTCCTTGCTTTCCTGCCCCAGGAGTTTCTAATGTTTGCAAGCATCTTCTTTTCATTTAGCATAAAGAGATTCAGGTTGATGTAGCTTGGTCCACAGATACTAACTTTAGAGAAGCCGTTGAAGAAGGAATGATACATGCCCACGATAACCAGTGATTGGCAGCATAGCTTGATAGATATCAGAATGAGGGAAATCCAAAGGGTTATCCTTAGGAAATGCATTCATATATGGTAAGAACAGACCTCGGGTCCAAGTCCTAGCAGTGGGTCATGATCAGACATCCCTTCCCAAACCCACATCAATGGGGGGAGGGCCGAGTGAAGCCTAGCAACATTTAGGCTTAGAGTTCACTAGAGGCCCTGGTTCCCTTGTCTCAAGTACAACAGAGAAATTCAGTTTGGAAAATGAGAGTTAAGTCAGGCTTTGTGGTACACACCTGTAACCAAAGCACTCAGGAAATGGAGGAAGGAGGATCTTTCAAGTTTAAGGCCAATCTCTGTACCTCAGTGAGTTCCAAGCCAGCCAAAGCTACACAGTGAGACCTTGTCTTAAAGGAGGGTAGGGGCTGGAGAGATGGCTCAGCTGTCAAGAACATTGGCTGCTCTTCCAGAGGACCTGGGTTTGATTCCCGGCTCCCACGTGGCAGCTCATAACTGCATGCCATTCCAGTTTCAGGGAGTCTAATGCCCTCTTCTGGCCTCCAAGGGCACCAAACACACAGGTGGTATGCAGACATAATGCAGCAAAATATTTATATACATAGAACAAAAACAAATACTTTTTTGTTATTGTTTTTTGTTTGTTGTTTGTTTGGAGACAGTTTCTCTGTGTAGCCCTAGCTGTCCTGGAACTCGCTCTGTAGACCAGGCTATTCTCAAACTCAGAGATCCACCTGCCTTTGCCTCACAAGTGCTGGGAATAAAGGCATGCACTACCACCACCCAGTGAAAATAAATAAATCTTAAAAAAAAAAAAAAAAAAGAAAAGAAAAGAAAGCAAGTGAGTAAATGAAGCCAAGTGTAGTGGCTATTAATCTCAGGCCTTGGAAGGCAGGGACAGGAGGATCTCTTTGAGTTTGGAGGTCAGCCTGGTCTACATAGCGAGTTCCAGGACAGTCAAAACTACATAGTATGACCTTATCTCAAAAATAAAATTAAAATTAAAAAAGAAATGGTAGGAAGGAAAGAAGGAAATCAAAACTAGTTTGCTTTAGTGGTTTCATCACGGTTTGCCTGATGTCAGGGGAGGGTGAGCTAACCGTGGAGCCTTCCACTGACAGGATGTAACTTGGCCCAGCCAGGATTAGCTGAGGAACTGGAATGAGAGAGGGAGGATTTCTTTCCCTCCCCCGCCCGTGCCCCCCCCCACTTTTTATTTTTATTTTTATTTTTTTTTTTTGTCTTAAACAATTTTTTTTTCTTCAAGACAGGGTTTCTCTGTGTAGTTTTGGTGTCTGTCCTGGATCTTGCTCTGTAGACCAGGCTGGCCTGGAACTCACAGAAATCATCCGGGCTCTGCCTCCCGAGTGCTGGGATTAAAGGTGTTTTATGATGGATGTTTAAAACACATACAGAAGTAAAGACAGTGGAGGGGACCTCCTGATGTGCCCATTGCTAATTTCAACAACTGTCCACACCCAATCAACCTTATTTCATTTATTAACCCACTTTCCACTACCACCCCCCACCCTGTCCTCACTGACAGATTGGTCTAAAGCAAATAAACCCACCATTCAATCAGTAATATTTTAGTACTTTATTTGTTTATAAGACAAGGACTGAAGTGGTTCAGTGAGTAAAGATGCCTGTCATCAAGATTGACAACCCGAGTTCAACCCCTGGAACCCACATGGTGACCATAGAGAGCCAACATTAAAAAATTGTCCTCCAACCTCCACATGTGCTATCATCCATGCACACCCCACACACATGTGCATGCACAATAATGAATCAAAATGTAATTAAACTTTTTTTAAAAGATGAAGACCCTCTTTGTATGTGCATAGCCACAGTGTACTTATCCACATAATTCTTTAATATTTAAGGTCTAGTTTTTGTTCAAATATCCCTGACTCTCTCACTTTCTAATTTTGTTGCTCTTATACAAGGACCTGCATTCAGTTCCCAGCACCCACATGGTTGCTCACAATCATCTGTAACTTCAGTTCCAAGGGATTTTCGCTCTTCTAGCCTCTATAGGCACCAGATATATATGCAAATTTCATACATACAAGATAAAAATAAATCCTAAAAAAAAAGTATGATCGAAACAGGATTCATAAATTGTTTTTATTTTATTATTTATGTACATAGTTGTTTTCCCAGTCTGTGTGCTATGTGTATACAGTGCCCACAGAGGCTAGATG